ATGACCCAGGAGGGAATGGCTCATGATACAGAATAAACACAGAGGGAGTTGTAGCATTTAATATTGAAGAAGAAGAAAAAAAAACAGTAGAAAAGAGACATCAGAAGCAGATTTTCACAGTTGTATTTCCTGGTTTCAGTGTCCATCTTTGCCCACAAAATGTGGGGCCAAACAAACAAACCTCCTCAGCTCACGGCTTGAAGCCGAGTCTCTGATATGTATATTCTTCTCGTGTTCATCTGCTTATTGGTAGAAAAGAATGAGCGTTGAAAACAGCATTTTGGCTTTGACTGAGAGTCTGAAAGTGACTGTAACCTTTGGTTGCTGCAGACGAGCTTTAAATGCCTTCACAGATCCTCAAGTCTTAACAATCGTTTCCTTCTTTTGTAATGTCCCAGCAACAAACAAACCACCGTTGGTGTGAAAACATCACAGAAGTACAATCATTTAGTTGTTGTTGTTTTTTTTTCTGGAAATGAATACCATACCAAGTCACGCTTTAATTTTCCCCCCCCACTTCATTCTGGAGGTTACAGAACAAGATAAAGTAATGAGATGCCACCCTGCACATGTAGGAGTTGATCGATAAAAACTGTAAAGTAAAAGCTGTAGATGAAAGGACTTTCAGCAGCATCTTTATAAGAGTTTTAGAAAAAATTGACTTTGCAAATGGTGTTTATTTTTTCTTCTTCTTTTTTTTTTTTTTACAACTACAAGGTTTTCACATGGAGCTACACGTGTCAGCTGAAATAAACTCAGGCTACAGACAGCCCGAGGCGTCGTTCACTTCATCTCACAGCTCAGTGTGAAAGGATTCACGCTCAAGCCCCACAAGTCTCTGCTGACGGCAGAACACTCATAGAATAAACTTGTCTAATTTAAAGACCACAGATGCTCATTGGCCTTTGTTCTTCTGTCACAGTTTCTTTTAACATAGCATTCACAAACTTATGAATAAGTAGGCCTATACTGACTTCAGCTAAGGGGTTAGGAAGCAAAAACCTGCCTTGGGGTATGCCACATTGAGGGTTTGAAGTAGGCATTCGTACAAAACACAGCACAGTTGTTTCTAATGGAAAGAGTTGCAGAGTGTTGCTCCAAGTCTACTTTTGGATGCAGCAATAATTTATGTTAGGGTAGGTCCATGTTATGGGTTATGTCTGTGGACGTGTTTTACTAAAACCACTACAATCATCAACCGTATTTACTGATAGAAAAAAATCATAGGCTTTACTGTGAGAATTAGATTCACTGAAACATTGTTAAAAAATATATATATTCATAAAATATAACAAAAACGCTTCCATAGTGACAGCACAGCTGTTTATTTTCTTTTAAGACACACTATGAGAACTTTTAAGAGTTGTCATAGCGTTAGTCTATGTCCTCCACTTTGAAAGTAAAGAGGTAGAAATGAACATTTGTAGTTACCAGGAATTTGTACGTATAGTTACACGTCATCGTCCAACTAAATGGACAAACACCTGCAGAAAGATGAATTTCATGTATTGTTTTTCCCGGTCTTTAATGTTCCTATTGACCATATATCAGTCACAACCCAAGTTCTCAAAAATAAATAAAAAAATTTAAAAAAGTAAGTGGAGTTATATAACGAATTGGGATTAAACACCTTATTTATTTTTTATATATAGTTATGTAGCCCTGGGGTTTGAGAACCACAAGAAGTGGGGGGTTTATGTCTTTTGATAAGTACCTGGGGTTAAAAATGGGTAATGGAGTTACATAAATGTACATTTCGGTGATTTATCTATTGCAGCGTAAGTAAGAGGCTGAATCCCATAGGTTTGAGAGCAACGGAAATTTACGAGGGAAAGTAAAGGGGACTTAAACAAAAACAAAAAAAAGGGGGAGGAGAAAGGAGAAGGTGAGCGGGGAGGAAGGAAGGAGCAGAGTGTTGAAAGAGTCGTAACAAGGGATTTTGTATTAAAACAGATGGGAAAATATCTGTGTTAGATATAGTAGTTGAATATAACCATTTCTATACGCTGAGTATAGTACAGTACTGAGGAATAAGAGTTAGGAACTGTGAAGAGGACTGTGATTTATGAGGGGACCTAGCTACGGAGCACATGTTCGGCGGAACGACCAAGATGGCGAGAGGTTTCTCATAAGGACAGATATCGTTGTAAGAAACGTGTTTGAAGAAGAAAAAGAGTAAAGAAGAAAAGCAGGAACTGTGGACTCGGAAAACAGCATTGACGTTGAGGACATCGGTGGAGGAGGTTTTTGTGAGTTCATCGAGTTACCAGACGAGAAAAAAGAAACGCGGACGGCAGGATTGCTTCGGCGAACTCGAAAACCAACAGGCCTGCGACGAAAGATTCAGCGGGTATCGGACGGTTTGTGAGAGAATGTGGGCCCTGTGAGTGTGTGTGTGTGTGTGTGAAATTATATGTTGAAATGTAAAAGGGTGTAGAATTGAGAACTGTGATTTTTGGGAAAGTTATTAATGGGTTATGTATACTGAAAGGTGTTAAATGTCTGCCAAAGTTCTGGGTAGAGGGAAAAAAAAAAGTTAACTGTGTGGAAAAAATAATAATAAAAAACCCGAAGTTCTGCATGGATGTCTGGGTTATTCTAGATTAGACAAAATACGAAGGAAAATAGTAACTGAGTAGTAGTCACTACATGTAGGTGAACCTGATCGGTATATACCGGAAAGCTAACGAACCCTAGTAGTATCCCACTTGAGAGCGAGAGTTCTGTCCTGGGTCCAGGTACGGGAGCGGTGGGTGCTACA